TTATTCTTATAAGCCGGCTGGAGTCACCATGAATCGCTTGGGTGGCCATAGAAAACGTTCTATAAATAAATAAATAAATAAATAAATAAATAAATAAATAAATAAATAAATAAATAAATAAATAAATAAATAAATAAATAAATAAATAAATAAATAAATAAATAACTAACTAACTAACTAACTAACTAACTAACTAACTAACTAACTAACTAACTAACTAACTAACAAATAAATTCAGGGCACACATTTATACCCCAAAGGCTGCAAAGCTCACTATGTTGCCGAATTCCAACTTATTTATTTAACAATTTTTGTATATGTTAAGGAGGAACTGATGGGGTGGGATTCAGACGTCCCTGAGGAACCTTCCAGGGTACCTGTTAGTTCTTAGGAACTGTCAACCCATGTCCCCATCGGCCTTTGAAATGGAGGAACGGGCTAATGTACAGGTAGTCCTCAAATTAGGACCACAGTCGGCATCAGAATTGCCATTGCCAAACAAGCCTGTTGTAAAATGAGGCACGCAGAACAGAACAGAACGGAATATATGGAATGGAATGGAATGGAATGGAATGGAATAGAATAGAATAGAATAGAATAGAATAGAATAGAATAGAATAGAATAGAATAGAATAGAATAGAATAGAAAATATGGAATAGAAAGAATAGAATGGAATGGAATGGAATGGAATGGAATGGAATGGAATGGAATGGAGTGGAGTGGAGTGGAGTGGAGTGGAGTGGAGTGGAGTAGAGTAGAGTAGAGTAGAGTAGAGTAGAGTAGAGTAGAGTAGAGTAGAGTAGAGTAGAGTAGAATAAAATAGAAAATATGGAATAGAAAGAATAGAATAGAATAGAATAGAATAGAATAGAATAGAATAGAATAGAATAGAATAGAACAGAACAGAATAGAATAGAAAATATGGAATAGAAAGAATGGAATGGAATAGAATAGAATAGAATAGAATAGAATAGAAAATATGGAATAGAAAGAATGGAATGGAATAGAATACAATAGAATACAATAGAATACAATAGAATAGGATAGGATAGGATAGGATAGGATAGGATAGGATAGAAAATATGGAATAGAAAGAATGGAATGGAATGGAATGGAATGGAATAGAATAGAATAGAATATTTAGAATAGAATAGAATAGAATATTTAGAATAGAATAGAATAGAATAGAAAATATGGAATAGAAAGAATGGAATGGAATGGAATGGAATGGAATAGAATAGAATAGCTAGAATAGAATAGAACAGAACAGAACTGAATTGAATTTAATTGAATTACAGGATAGAAAATAGAATAGAATAGAATAGAAAATATGGAATAGAATAGAATAGAATAGAATAGAATAGAATAGAATAGAATAGAATAGAATAGAATAGAATTAGAATAGAATAGAATAGAACTGGAAGGGACCTTAGAGGTCTTCTAGTCCAGCCCCCTTGCTCAAACAGGAGAACCTATAGCCTTTTCAGATAAGTGACTCTCCAGTCTCTTCTTAAAAACCTCCACTAATCTGGGACGTGTCTCTGTCTTTCCGAAACCCAACTAGGCGCACGCAGGAAAGCGGTCTGGAGGTTCGGCTCGGCTCCGCTGGAGTACCTTTACAACTGGACGTGCACCTGCTTGTCCCTGATTGAAATGTCCAAGAAACTTCAGCACCACAGCAGCATGGGCAGCTCAGCTTCGGCCCTTTGGACGCCCACCTTGTCTCAGTCCATCCGCTCGTCCCAAATCTCGTCTCTCCGGTCCGCCTCTGTTCTCTAACCGCTCGATCCAAGTTCCAGATCCCCCCACCTTCCCCAAGTTCACTGCCTTTGTTCAGCGTGCGGCGCGCCTGATTTCCCAGCTGGGAATTATAGTTTCTCGACTTTAATTCGGAAACGTTTGGATAGGGAAAGAGAGAGAGAAAGAGAGGGAGAATTTGCGGTACAAGGCAGGGAGGTGAAAAAGCGGCTGACCCACAAAGGTCAGCGTTGAAAGGAGTTGGGCCCTGCAAAAGATTCGCACCCCTTAGCAGCTTTGGAGAAATTATTCCGATTTTGACGGAGAAGGAAGGGGGAGCTTTTCCCTTCCTCCCCAACCTAACCGCCTCTGGAAGGGAACGAGGAGTTTTCCCACTGGCTGGTGGACGGAGATGTCAGCCCCGCTCCCGCTATCTTCGGCAGCCTCGTTTGTTTTTTTTTAATAAAATTGGGGGGAAATTAAAATCCTTGTCGCCCCTTTTCTGACAAAGCACAAGGTCTTATCTGGCCAGCCGTTTTGTAATTGGAGATTACAAGCTGATTACGACGATTCCCGATAAATATGGTGTGGTGTTATTACAACGGGCGATCCTTTTGATTATCGGCCGCCTCGAGAGCTGGGGTGGGGTGGGGGTTTAATATCGGGAGGACGGCGGCGAGAGAAACGATAAATTCTAGAAATAAATTTTGCAATCTCCGTCTGATGCAGTGAAGACTTTCTCGGCTGGGGAGCTGCTGTCAAGCAGCTCTAAACAAATAGCGGCTTTTAATGAAATGGGAAAAGGTGCTGACGTGCAGGTGGTCCTCGACTTACGACGGCAGTGGAGCCCCAACTGTATGTTGCTAAGTGAGAAATTTGTTAAGTGCGTTTTGGCCCTTTTCTTGCCACGTTTGTTAAGTGAATCAGTGCGGTTGTTAAATGAGTAACACGGTCGTTAAGTGAATATGGCTGTCCCCTTGACTTGGCTTCTCAGAAGGGGGTCACCTGTCTGAAATGGTGTAGGGTCTCCTGCCTGAGCAGGGGGCTGGAATAGAAGACCTTCAAGGTCCCTTCCAGACCAATGATTGTAGGGGCGGGAAGGAAGGAAGGAAGGAAGGAAGGAAGGAAGGAAGGAAGGGAAAATTATAGGGAAGGAAGGAGGGAAGGAAGGAAGGGCAATGGATGGAAACTAATCAAGGAGAGAAGCATCTTAGAACTAAGGAGAAACTTCCTGACAGTCAGAACATTTAACCAATGGAACAACCTGCCTCCAGAAGTGGTGACTGCTCCAACACTGGAGATTTTTAAGAAGAGACTGGACAGCCATTTGTCTGAAATGGTATAGGGTCTCCTGCCTGAGCAGTGGGTTGGACTAGAAGACCTCCAAGGTCCCTTCCAGACCAATGATTGTAGGGGCAGGGAGGGAGGGAGGGAGGGAGGAAGGAAGGAAGGAAGGAAGGAAGGAAGGAAGGAAGGAAGGAAGGAAGGAAGGAAGGAAGGAAGGAAGGAAGGAAGGGAAAATTATAAGGAAAGAGGGAAGGAAGGGCAATGGATGGAAACTCATCAAGGAGAGAAGCAACCTGGAACTAAGGAGGAATTTCCCGACAGTGAGAACAATTAACCAGTGGAACAACCTGCCTCCAGAGGTTGTGGGTGCTCCATCACTGGAGGTTTTTAAGAAGAAACTGGTCTGAAATGGTATCAGGTCTCCTGCTTGAGCAGGGGATTGGACTAGAAAACCTCTAGGGTCCCTTCTAGCTCTATTCTGAATTCTGTAAATTCTGAGACATGAGAACTTAGGACCAAAGTGAGCAGGGGGGGAGGGAGGGAATAGACTGAGTAGGGGTTGCATCACTCATCTGCTGCAATTATGGAGGCGGTTTGCCTAATTGGGTGAGCATGGAGGTGTTTTCTGACTAAGCAGGAGGACTTTGGAGAAGGGCTCTTAGGAAATGGTTCTCAACCTTTGCCACTTGAACATGGGTAGACTTCAACTCCCAGAATTCCACAGCCAGCCTGCTTTAAGAGGGATGGATTTCAACTCCCAGAATCCCCCAGCCAGCCTGCTTTAACAGGGGTGGACTTCCACTCCCAGAATTCCTCAGCCAGCCTGCTTTGAGATGGATGGGGAATGCTGGGAGTTGAAGTCCACCCATCTTCAAAGAGCTGAGGTTGACCAAGCCTGGCTTACAGCCTCAGCTGATTCACCGATGCATTGCGGTGCCATTGACCAGACAACGCCATCTTCTCCGGGAAGAAGAGAAGCAGGTGAGCCAGCACACCTGAGGGCAAGCGGTGCCCACAGACCATCAGGGGAGGAGAACCCACACCTGCTGCCCCTCCAAAGCGAAGCCTCAAGCGCACAGAAGCCAGAGCTGCAGGTGCAAACCTCACAATGCACAACATGAGGCCTACACACCAGGTGACCCATTGTCTGAAGAAGCACCCCAGGGCACCTGCACCAGAAAAACAGGATTGTTTTAATTTACTGCACGGAGTGTCCAAGGTGTGACTACTACTAGTTGCATCAACCATGGAGTTGTGCTCAGTGCGGAGAGTATTGTCCACCAAGAAACAAGGCCATTTTATGGGAAATGCAGGCAGTCTTCCACTTAGGATGGCAGTTGAGCCCAACCGTTGCTAAACAAGACATTTGTTGAGTGAGTGATAGATACATAGATAGATGATGGATGATAGATAATAGATAGATGATAGAAATAAAAGATAGATAGATGATAGATAGATGATAGATGATATAGATAGGATAGATAGCTGATAGCTGATAGATAGACAGACAGATAGATGGATGATAGGTAGATGATAGATAGATAGATAGATAGATAGATAGATAGATAGATAGATAGATAGATAGATAGATAGATAGATAGATAGATAGATAGATAGATAGATAGATAAATATAGATGATAGGTACATGATAGGTAGATGTGATAGATGATATAGATGATAGATAGATGATATAGATAGATAGATAGATAGATAGATAGATAGATAGATAGATAGATGGATGGATGGATGGATGGATGGATGGATGGATGGATGGATGGATGGATGGATGGATGATAGGTACATGATAGGTAGATGAGATAGATCAATGATGGCGAACCTTTTAGAGACCGAGTGCCCAAACTGCAACCCAAAACCCACTTATGCATCGTCGGGTGCCGGGTGGGCGTGGCCCATTGGGTGGGCGTGGCTGTGGTGGTAACAGCAGACTGGGTGGGACTAAAAAGTTCAATCAATCAATCCCAACTTTGCAAGATCTTTTTTTTTCCCGCAAGAAGTTGAAATTGACTGATTGATTGAACCTTTTTTTTTAGGCGGTGGAGGCCTAAAGTGAAAAGGTTTTATAAAACCCAGCTGAAGGCCTAGGACTGGGGCGAGGGCGCGCGTGCCCAGAAAGAGGGCTCTGAGTGCCACAGGTTCGCCACCACTGAGATAGATGATGGACAGATGATAGAGATAGATAGATAGATAGATAGATAGATAGATAGATAGATAGATAGATAGATAGATAGATAGATAGATGATGGATGGATGGATGGATGGATGGATGGATGGATGGATGGATGGATGGATGGATGGATGGATGGATGGAGACAGACAGATACATACATAGGTAGATAGATAGATAGATAGATAGATAGATAGATAGATAGATAGATAGATAGATAGATAGATAGATAGACAGATAGATAGATGGAGACAGAGAGACAGACAGACGGACGGACGGACGGACGGACGGAGACAGACAGACAGACAGACAGACAGACAGACAGATATAGATGGATGGATGGATGGATGGATGGAGACAGACAGATACATACATAGGTAGATAAATAGATAGATAGATAGATAGATAGATAGATAGATAGATAGATAGATAGATAGATAGATAGATAGATAGATAGATAGATAGATAGATAGATACAAGAAAAACTCACAGTGCGCATGTGCGTGATGGCGGACCTACTGCTTTTGGCTCCGTAGTCTCCGCGGGGTCCTCAGCGGAGATGGGGAGCCCTTGAAAGTCCGGGGGTGCTCGCCGGCCGGAGTTTGGCAGGAGGAGAGGGTCGGCGAGCGAAGAAGACGCGTCGGACCGCGGGACCACCTGGGCAGGGCCAAGAGCCGAGTGGAGAGGCGGAGAGCCGAGCGGAGAGGCCTGGCGGAGAAGTCGGAGAAGGCCTGGCGAGTCCGGAGAGGCCTGACGAGTAGAGCGGGGCGGCCAGGGAAGTCGGCGGCTGGTCGGCGTCTCGGGGCCTGGCGGCCGGGAAAATCGGCGGCCGGTCGACTCGGGGCTTAGCGGCCGGGAGAATCGGCGGCCGGTCGACTCGGGGCCTGGCGGCCGGGAGGATCGGCAACCGGAGGACTTGGGGCCTGGCGGCTGGGAAAATCGCCGACCGGACGATTTGGGACCTAACGGCCAGGAAGAGCGGCGGCCGGATGCGGCGGCGGCCTGATGCGGCGATGGCCAGGGGCTTAACGCGACGGCAGCTCGGCGGCCTTGGAAAGACCTACAACACGAGGCCATGGCGGCCTAACGGCCTGGCGTGGCTGCCGGGCGGCCCGATGGGGCGGTCCTGCGGCCTGTTGAAGATCCGGTGGCCCGACGAGAGTCTGGGGCCTAGTGGCGTGGCAGCCTGGCGGCCTGGCGGCCTGGGGACCGGGGTGGCCCGACGGCCTGTAAAAGGGAGGAGTGACCAGAGACGAGGCATACAGCGGCCCGGAGGTTGTGCCGGCCCAGCAGCGTGGTATACAGCGGCCCGGAGGGCGCGCCGGCACAGTAGCACAGCGGCCCGGGCGGAAGAACGGCCCGGGCGGAGGACAGGGCCCAAGGGAGGCATTGGCCGGAGGGATATGCCTGACGGTGAGTGCCCGGGAGCCCTGGGGACCTGTGTGACTGGGCTTGGCGGGCCCGGAGGCCTACGCTGTTGGCTGACCGACTTTGACTGCAACTTCCTCCCCCCCTCCCTCTTTCTTTCTTATGGGGGGTGTAAAGACCTATGAACCATATCGCCTTCTT